CACAGAGCAGCCACAATCCTCCTCCTCTTGGTCCTCCTGCCAGTACTCCTGGCCTCACCCCTGCTGAGTACCCCCATAGCAAGCTCCCCTTCAAGCTGTGTCCCATGTGTCAATGAAGCACACAGTGCGGCACGGCCCCACTCCCTCCTTACTGGCTGTGATTGACAGCAGCAGGAGCTAATGGCTCCCACTGCTGCTGCTGAGCCAGTGAGGGGAGAGAGAGCAATGATGCTGCTGTTGCGCACAGCACTGGATCAACATCGGGCTCTGTATAAGGGGGCCTGGGGAGGAGGGGAGCTGCACACAGAAGGTTTTTTTTACCTTAACTCTTTCATGCCTAAGGGTAAAACAAAGGTGAATTATACCTTGTTACTTTCTGGACAAATTAGGCTTTCATTTGGTGGTGAATGGTAATGGATATCTCCTGATTTTGTTTTATTATCAGAGGAAAACTGGCCCAAAATAATAATTTTTTTTTAATTTACCTGTATTTTCCTTGTTACTACCATAACATTCCACCAAAGAATAACCTGAAATAAATTCTGCTCCTGACAATCGCAGCAATGTCACATATGTGTATGTTATTTGTTATTCGTACCTCTAGTACAGCCCAGCAACAATAGTGCACAGTTTGCTATTTTTTGTCCTGCCTAAAACACACTGACACTAACTGACACTGATACTAATTAAAAAAAAATCCTGCCTAAAATATACTGACCCTGACCTTTGACCCTCACCTTGAACTTTGACCCTTACTTGACTCAAACACTAACCCTGGCACTGACCTACATCAAACCTTGATGATTTTTTCTTTATTTTTTTATATTTATTTATTTTACAGACTTGTTTTTTTTCTCTCTCTGAAAGGACAGAGAGAGAGACAATGTATCTCTCTCCTCCATTCAGAGAGAGAAAACACAGGGGCGGGCTTCACAGTGATTGATCAGAGGCTATCACAGCGATCATGTGACCTGGAATTGGGAGTTCTGGGTCCCGATCGTTAATACGGGACCTGGGACTCACAGTGGGACTCCGGTCTCTGTGCTGGGATCGCGCCGTGCGGCGCGCTCCCAGCACAAAGGGAGATACGCAAGTATGCAGCCCCACAGCATAAAGCCCATATTTGTGTGAGGTCGGCATGAAGGTGTTAATGCGTAGAATAAAAGAAAAACCTTCTGCCTTTAGAACCACTTGATTGTGGTCTTCCTCAAGATTCATCCTTGAGGCATCTGATTATACAGATCCATTAGTGGCCATGTGTCAAGCAGATGAGCTGCATAATTTTCTTGCCCGGAACATTTCAGATTACTTCAGAGTTTGACACCAAAACTGTGTGAAAATGTCTTTTGCACAGTTAGAGTAGCCTGTGAACTTAGACAAATTTGGCTGTGTTCTATATCACAAAGTTAATCTTGTCTGTCTTCAACCAGATGGTCCTGAGCTGTCAGTGTTCTGTCACTGAGATCAACTACAAATGATTTTTTAAAATCAAAGTTACATCTTTTTAGCAGGCCTCTGGGACCCAGATATTTTTGGGATAAATTAGAGCACATGCTGTATTTAGTGCTGAAGCATAAAGACTTGTTAAAGTGTAAGTAAAGGCAAATTTTTTTTGCATTTTATATAGAATAAGGAAAGGTTTTGACCCCCTTTTTTTCTTTTTTTTTTTTTTTTACGTATGTGTCCCATTGAGGAGATTTCCCATCCCCTTTCATGACCAGGCCATTTGTTTGCTATTCAGCACTGCGCTACTCTTTAACTCGTAATTGTGCAGTCACGCAATGCTGTACCCAAGCGAAATGTATATTTTTCACACAAATAGAGGCTTCTTTTGATGGTATTGATCACCAATGGGTTTTTTTTTTTTTCATTTTTTTGCGATATAAACGAAAAAAAAAACAAAAATTAAAAAAACCCTACTGTATATTTTTTACTTTTTGCTATAAAACATATCCAATAAAAAATTTAAAAAAATCTAAATTCTTCATAAATTTTGGCCAAAATGGATTCTTATACATGTCTTTGATAAAAAAAAATCCAAATAAGTCTATATTGGTTGATTTGTGTGAAAGTTATAGCATCTACAAACTATGGTTTATATACTGAAATTTTTACCTATTTATTTTTTAATACTACTAATGGTGGTGATCAGTGACTTATAATGGGACTGCGATAGTGCGGCAGACAATCTGATACAAACTGATGCTGGGGGAACAGACTAACTATCACTGACATCACCAGTGCCTTTAATACAGTGATCAGTGATAACATTATACACTGTCATTGTACTAATGACACTGGCTGGGAAGGGTTTAGCAACTAGGGCGATCAAGCGGTTAAATGTGTGCCTCACTATATGTAATGTGTGCAAACGTTGCTGTCTTTTACTAATAGATCTCTAATTTTCTCATCCCTGCTTTATCACTTCTAATTGGACCAGATTTTTATATAGCTGATCATCCGTGCTTTTAGGAATATTACTGAAAGTAAGAAAATATCCTCCTTAGCCTTGACAAAAATGTTGTTAGGGTGTGTATATCCCCAGACTGGCAAAATTGCTTATCCATGCAGTTGAACTATTTGGTACTATAGATTATTGCAAAGTGGTCAATTAATTAATTATCATTTAAAAATAGATCAACTTACATAGATTCTCATGCTAATGGTTTGCCGCTAATATATGTAAAATCACCAAGGAATGGTTCAACAACCATGAGGATATGGATGTGTGTTAACAAGACAAGATTTTTGTAGTACATATAAAGGTCACCCTGTAATAGTAAAGTTAATCTGCATAGTACATGGAATGACCCATAAATCAATTTAAGGTGTAGTTCATGCAAAGCCTTGGGCTAGATCTCCCTCTCGACATATGAAGGTCAACGATGTAAATCAAATCAAGCAACGATGGATATTATGCCAGTCAGGATGGCTAATGATACTTCTATAGTGCGATATTTTCTTACACATCACGTAGCTAACAAACAAAGGAGTGAAACATGGTCATTATTTTACCAGTCCTTGATTTTACTTGCCCAAAGAATCATGGCAAATGATCTGGAGGAAGTCATGGATTGTAGCCCCCAAAAGTTGAAACATCATCAAAATTAACCAGAGAAGAGAAACAAAATATAAGTTCAGTGTGCAGCTTGTGACATCACATCTTGTGATGTGTTTTGTCACCAAATATGATGACTTTCTCAAGCAGTGCAGTGTCAACTATGTTGTTGAAGGGAATATATTCACAAGATGGGACTGGAAGGGTGGAATACCATAGATGTCAGCAATGGAACTGGGAATAGAAGTGACCTCACTAGAATTGCATCACCTTCAATAGCACACCTACCAGAAAACTGGAAGTTATTTGCCAATACACCAACAAGGCCAGAAAACAAAAAAATATCAGCAAAACAAAAATAGAACAATGTTATACTATTCAAAACTGATCACAAACTATAATACAAATCAGTACAGTAAAAATAAAAATATTTATTTTGACTTTAAATATAATATTAAAGCATAAAATAAAAATTGCAATTTGTTTAAGATTACCAGGCACAACATCTGATTTTATGATCAAACATTGATCATTAATTTTGAAAAATCTTTTTGTTTTGCTCATATAAAAGCTGACAATCACAAATCAGGAGGTAAATCATCCCCTATGTATTGGAGTTTATAAAGTGTTTGGAATACAAGATTTTTCCATTAATAGTGCAAGAACTGCATTTATATGTACCTGTGAATTCGTAACACTTGGACTGATGTTTTTAATAATGATGATGGATTAGAATATCACCTATGGACCTATTTAAAGGTAGTGGAGCGCAAAGGTGAAATAAATCCCAGAATAGTTAGATCATCCCCTAAGCCATTCCCAGTGTTGAGAATCTCTCACAAATTGGAAGATTTTTTTTACTAAATCTAGTGACAATTCTTAGAAAATGTATTCCCTTGGCTCCTATGGTGCTTATCATTGTAGTCCCTTGCTCTACATCTATTACATAGCAAAATAGCCTCATGTTTAATAGATTTATCACTGGAATAATTCCTAGAAACCCTTTGGTATTGCCCTATTAGTATTCCATATATAAGGCTGGTGGGATGGGAACTTTTAGAATGTAAAAAATTGTTTCTAGATGTTGGTTTACAGAACAGTGCCTTAATAATATAGTCATCTGGAACCTTAAAAATTTGAATGATTGAGGAAAGCCAGATTCTGTCTCCCCTGCTATCAGAACATAATAACACAACGGGAGTGATTCCCCCATCCACATTGGAATCATTTTTTTAAATTCATGTATGGCCAGTCTTACCCTATATATCCTTAAAAAAATCTTCCCTTCTCTCTCTTCCTACCTATCCTGCCTGACCTGTAAATAAAGATCTGAGTACTTGCCATTTTGAAATCCACTTTTAAAGTACAGAGATCTTTTAAATACAGGTTAGGCAGGGTAGGTAGAAAGTAGGAGAGGGAATATTTTTAAGAATAGTTAGATTTTCTTCCACTTTCACTTTGCAGAAATTGTAGATTTTCATATGAGATAATGGGCATATATAAACACACCTGGTATTACTCTCTACGCCAAAAAATAAATCAGCCCAATTATCACAAGCAGTGCTTATAAATTATATGTATCTTACTGAAAGTTTTGCTCATATATAGTAATACTGTAACAAGAATGCTGACTGCAGATAGCCATGAAAGCAAAAATATATAAACTTGTCATGAAAATATGGCACATTAGGCAAGTACACAAGTTTTTTTTGAAAATTACAGTTTGAAAACAGCACAAATCAATATGTGTATACGATAGAAATTCACAGTAGTTTCCCTTTAAAACTGGCATTGCCTCTATCCTAATGAGAAAATAATAGTCATTGCACAAGACATGTTGCACATTCATATAATTTATAAGCTACTTGTACTTATTTAATTAGGATAATACAACTGTACACATTCTAAAGTCCTTGTTTATTTCTCTCACTCTCTTTTCCAGGCTTATGGCATTGTTTTTATTCGGAAGATCAAGCACAGACATACTCTTGCCAAGAACTATTTTTCACAGATTCCAGAGATGGCACCATTTCTTCATGGGGAGAATTCAAATCAGATGTCTGCAGTTAATGATCTGGTTATTAGTAAACCTATCGCTACTGCTTTCCAAGCCTAGACTTTTTTCCACTCACTTCAGTATGTTTATCTTTTTTTAAATTGCTTTTATATTTTCCCTGCTGGGTAATTCTATAACAGAACATTTTCTGACTCCAGCAATGCTCTCTACAATCCTATGTGTCCTGTATTCCCATCCTCAAACATTGAGCAGTGATTGTTAAACTATCAAACCTGTTATAAAAAAAATAAATATTATAATATTTTATCTTAGCACTGCTGATTTAGCCATGTAATGGAAGTTCTTGTCCATATTGACATTCCAGTGATTCTAAACATAGATTTTTGTTTAGTTTTAGATAGTGTGAAGAATGGCTAGAACTTCTGCCAGGTTTTTACTGCTAGATGTGTCCCAACTGGATATTATTTACCCTCACAGAGATGGGTATATCCACTTGAAGACTGAGCCTTTTCTTACACTTTTAATTTACATGGAAATATCAGTACTTTCTTGCTAGAAAATTACTTAGAACCCCCAAATATTATATATATATAAAGTGAAGGAAATAAGTATTTGATCCCCTTCTAATTTTGAATGTTTGCCCACTCACAAAGAAATGATCAGTCTAAAAATTGAATGGTAGGTGTTTTGTAATACTGAGAGACAAAATAGGAACACAAAATTCAAAAGAAATGCATGTCTAACAAATTATGTACTGATTTGCATGTTCATGAGGGAAATAAGTATTTGATCCCCTTCACAAAACATGACTTAGTACTTGGTGGCAAATCCCTTGTTGGCAATCACAGAGATCATACGTTTCCTGTAGTTGGCCACCAGATTTGCACACATCTCAGGAGGGAAATTTGGCCCACTCCTCTTGACAGATCCTCTCATTAAGATTTGGTGGCTGACGTTTGGCAACTCGAACTTTCAGCTCCCTCCACAGATTTTCCACAAATTAAGGTCCGGAGACTGGCTAGGCCACTCCAGGACCTTAATGTTCTTCTTCTTGAGCCACTCCTTTGTTGCCTTGGCCATGTGTTCTGGGTCATTGTCATGCTGGAACACCCAGCCACGACCCATTTTCAATGCTCTGACTGACGGAAGAAGGTTCTCACCCAAGATTTGATGGTACATTGCCCCTTCCATCGTCGCTTTGATGCGGTGCAGTTGTCCTGTCACCTTAGCAGAAAAACACCCCCAAAGCAGAATGTTTCCACCATCATGTTTGACAGTTGGAATGGTGTTCTTGGGGTCATAGGCAGCATTCCTCCTCCTCCAAACACGGCGAGTTGAATTGATGCCAAAGAGCTTGATTTTGGTCTCATCTGACCACAACACTTTCAACCAATCCTCCTCTGCATCATTCAGATGTGTAGTGGCAAACTTCAGACGGGCCTGGACATGTGCTTACTTGAGCAGATAAACCTTGTGGGCACTGTAGGATTTCAATCCTTGTCGGCGTAGTGTGTTACCAATTGTTTTCTTGGTGACTGTGGTCCCAGCTGCCTGGAGATCATTGACAAGATCCTCACGTATAATTCTGGGATGATTCCTCACTGGTCTCATGATCATTGACACTCCACGAGATGAGATCTTGCATGGTGCACCAGACTTTGGGAGACTGACAGTTGTTTTGTGTTTCTTCCATTTGCGAATGATTGCACCAACTGTTGTCACTTTCTCACCAAGCTGTTTGGCGATAGTTTGGTAGCCCAGTCCAGCCTTGTGTAGGTCTACGATTGTGTCCCTGACATCCTTGGACAGCTCTTTGGTCTTTGCCATGGTGGAGAGTTTGGAATCTGATTGTTTGATTGCTCCTGTGGACAGGTGTCTTTTATACAGGTAACAAAATGAGATTAACAGCACTCCCTTTAAGAGAATGCTTCTAATCTCAGCTTGTTACCTGTATGAAAGACACCTGGTAGCCAGAAATCCTGCTGAATGATAGGGAATCAAAAAATTATTTCCCTCATGAACATGCAAATCAGTGTATCATTTGTTAGACATGCATTTCTTTTGAATTTTGTGTTGCTATTCTGTCTCTCAGTGTTACAATACACCTACCATTCGATTTTTAGACTGATCATTTCTTTGTGAGTGGGCAAACATTCAAAATCAGAAGGGGATCAAATACCTATTTCCTTCACTATATATACAGTTGTGTTCAAAATAATAGCAGTGTGTTGAAAAAAGTGAATAAAGCTCAAACTCCTTCTAATAGCTTTTATTTCCATACACAGAAATGCATTGGGAACACTACACATTCTATTCCAAATCAAAACATGAAGAAAAATATATCAAATTTGTGTTGTTTCTCTAAAGAAATTGAAGAAAAGTGAATATTAGACTGTTCAAAAAAATAGCAGTGTTTGTATTCTTCTTTACAAACTCAAACATTCACTATATAAACTAAAAGATATTTGAAGATTTTGCTTTCCTTTGAATCACTTAATTAATATTTAGTTGTATAAGCACTGTTTCTGAGAACTGCTGTACATCTGTGTTGCATGGAGTCAACCAACTTCTGGTACCTGTGAACAGGTATTCCAGCCCAGGATGATTGGACTACATGCCACAGTTCTCTATTTCTTAGTTTTGCCTCAGAAACTGCATTTTTGATGTCACCCCACAATGTTTCTATTGGATTAGGATCCGGGGACTGGGCTGGCCACTCCATAACGTCAATCTTGTAGGTCTGGAACCAAGATGTTGCACGTTTACTGGTGTGTTTGGGGTCGTTGTCTTGTTGGAACACCCATTTCAAGGGCATTTCCTCTTCAGCATAAGGCAGCATGACCTCTTCAAGTATTCTGATGTATTCAAACTGATCCATGATCCCTGGTATGCGATAAATAGGCCCAGCACCGTAGTATGAGAAACATCCCCATATCATGATGCTTGCACAACCATGCTTCACTGTCTTCACAGTGTACTGTGGCTTGAATTCAGTGTTTGGGGGTCGTCTGACAAACTGTCTCCAGCAACTAGACCCAAAAAGAACAATCTTACTTTCATCAGTCCACAAAATGACAAAATGTTGCGCCATTTCTCTTTAGGCCAGTCAATGTGCTCTCTGGCAAATTGTAACCTCTTCAGCACGTCTTTTTTTCAACATTGGGACTTTGCGGGGGCTTTTTGCAGATAGCTTGGCTTCACATAGGCATCTTCTAATTGTAACAGTACTCACAGGTAACTTTAGACCTTCTTTGATCTTCCTGGAGCTGATTGTTGGCTGTGTCCTTGCCATTTTGGCTATTCTTCTATCCATTCGAATGGTAGTTTTTCACTTTCTTCCACGTCTTTCAGGTTTTGGTTGCCATTTTAAAGCATTTGCGATCATTTTAGCTGAGCAGCCTATCATTTTCTGCACTTCTTTATATGTTTTCCCCTCTCCAATCAATTTTTTAATCAAGGTATGCTGTTCTTCTGACCAATGTCTGAAATGACCCATTTTCCTCAGAATTTCAGAGAGAAATGCACTGTAACCCGCATGTACAACATTTGCTGTCTTCCTTCCTTAACCTCCTTAGCGGTTTTCCAGAGTGTAGCTCGGGGTAAAATTTGAGTACCAAGAGCGGTAACCCTGAGCTACACTCGGGCTTACCATGCGGCGTTGCTCAGGGCGTCCCTGCAGCACTTACCTTGTCCTTCGCTCCCGCGATGTGTCCCCTGCAGTGTCCCCGGCCATCTCCTCCGGCCGATGCCGGCATCTGGCTTCCGTGTTCCGGTCCCTGTGACGTCGGGGCGTACGGGCACCGGAACCGGTGGGAAATTTGAAATTTTAAAAAAATGTCATTTTTGCTGTCATTGCTGTTTCAATGCATTTCACATATATTTTGTCCCTACTGCTTTGTCTTGTGCCCTGCCTGCATTTTGACTGTTCTTTCTGCCTGGAAACTTAGAAAAGTCCATGGCGTCCAAAAAGCGTCCCTTTATGTCAAAAGCGGTTTTAGAACAGCGATAGTAAATCAGAACCACTTGCAGAATTCAGTGATAATGATTCGTGGGGAAATTCGTCATCAGACACTGAAAACGATTTTGCGACTTTGCTCAGCGATGTGCGAATTTGCCTCTGTATTTCAAATTTCAGTGTTTTTGGTTTGATTATATTATTGAATTAAATTTATTATTATTATATTATTATTTTTTATGAATATTTATTAAATTATAATTTATGATTTCGTGTTTCAAGTTTTATTATATCCGGAATGTTTACTAGACTCTTGTTCGTACAGATTTCAGTGAGTTATTCCTAAAAATTACAGCCTATAATAAAAAACTACATATTTCCATGCAAAAAAATGGTACTGCTTTCAGCACAAAAAATCGGAAAGAATCATACCGCCGAGGAGGTTACGTAAGGGCAATAATTGCCACCTGTTTTTCAAAGAATGAATGACCTCACTAATAGAACTCCACACTACTATTATTTTGAACATGCCCCTTTCAATTAGTGATTCAATTACACAGAATCAGCAGCATGTCATGACTATTGGGTCTGTTGGATTTCTATTACTCTACTACACCTGCTAGTAAATTATTTGCCATGTAGAAATATCATTTCTACCAAAAACAGTGATTGATCAGGTTAGTGATGTCTGACCGCTATTATTTTGAACACAACTATATATATATATATATATATATATATATATCACTATTTTGCTAAATGATTATTATTATTCAGGATTTATATAGCGCCAACAGTTTGCTCAGCGGTTTACAATATAACGGGAGACGATATAGTAACAATATGGTTAAATACAAGAGGGTTAGGAGGGCCCTGCTGCTTGGAGCTTACAATCTAAGAGTGTATTGAGACACTTCTACAAATCATTGGATTAAGGTGTTCCAATCACCTCCATAGCCACAGGTGTATAAAATCAAGCACCTAAGCATGCAGACTGCTTCTATAAACATTTGTGAAAGAATGAGTCGCTCTCAGACGTTCAGTGAATTCAAGCGTGGTATCGTGATAA